CCCTGGCTCACTCCTATAATCCTAGCTACTCAGGAGGCAGAGATGAGGAGGATTGAAGTTTGAAGCCAGACCAGGCAAATGGTTCCTGAGACCCTATCTCAGAAAAACCCATCACATAAAAGGAGTGGTGGAGTGGCTCAAGGTATAGGCCCTGAGTTCAAACCCCAGTACCACAGAAAAGGTTGTGGGGAGAACCAAAGGATCCCGGAAGGACCCTGAGCAGGTGGGAGAAAGAGTGAGCCAAGAGGGGACCAGCCTTAGAAATCGGGACCAGGGGCAATTTCCCTGCTGTAACTGGGGAGAAAGGCAAACAGGAGTGGATGAAGGCGGAGTTGGTGCTGAGAAGTGCAAACACCCCTAACTGGTGGCTCTGTCTTCTCTGTAGTGGGACGCAAGAGGCCAGATAATCTCAGAGCGGTGTGTGCCCAAGGGTTAGGACAGGTAGAGGAGGGTGATGCTCACGAGTCAAGCTGCGTGGGACCTTCTGGTAAATCCTGGAGGCCCATCTCAGGTTGGGGTCCATGAATTCAAGAGAAACACTGGCCTGTTGGGGACTCTCCAGCAAGGGCCTTCTCCAGATGTGAGTGAGCCCGCCCAGGATTGGTTCATATCACCACCAGGAGATAAGGGAGAGGGAGTTGAGGATGCTGCTAAGACTTCACTAACATGATGGACTTTGGACCCTAAGCCGGCTGGGGATAGAAGGAAAGAGCTGCCTGGTGGAGGGAAGGAAGACAGAAAGTTCAAAGGCTGTGTCCTTAGAAGGTCCAGAACTTTCTGAGGAAGACATTGAACCAGCAAGGAGAGATGACTGGAATCAGAGTATGGCACTTGTATTAGAATTAGTGATGGGGGCAGAGGAATTACAAGTCTGCATTATGGGTGATACATACATATCTCACAGAACCCAAAAACCCTGGAAAAACCAGCCGGTGAGTTTATGCAATGACTGAGAAGGGCCACAAGATGGCAGCATCAGTCCAAATCCGGGTACATAGAGGCCTCACCACACCCCCAGGCTGACTCCTTCCCAGGATAGGGTGTGTGGAGGGGAGGGGCAGCCTGGAGGCATTGAGTGATTAAAACCGTCTGAGCTGGGTGTGGTGAGCCACACCTGTAATCCCAGCACTTGGAAGGTGAGGCAGGAAGATCTGAAGGTCAGCCTGGGCTACATAAGCAAGACCTGTCTCAATAAATAAATAAATAAATAAATAAATAAATACTTTGCATTCATGCAGCTGGTGCGAAATCAGGCTCTTCCTGATTGGCTAATCACCTGCAGGTCAGCAGACTCCAGGAAAGGGAAGAAGGAGAGTTTTCAGGGTTCCAGTCTTGGAAGATGAGGCCCCAAACACTTTCATTGGAGCCCCTGAGTGGGTCCAGTTTAAATCTTGGTCCTGCTACTTACCAACTGTGTGACTCTGAGCAAGAGACTTGACCTCTGTTTCCATATGAGCAAAATGGGCTGGTACCAGCACCTTCCTCATGAGGTTGTGCCCTTCCCATGGGGCCGAGCCAGAGCAGGCTTGGTTTTGGGGTTCAGAAAGTGCTACCCTAAGTACTGAACTGTGGCATGATGAGCACTTCAAACCGAAGAACGGAAGAGCTCAGAAGCAAAATCTCCCTGGCCTTTCTGTCCTCCTGTCTCTCCTAGGTCATAGGAAAGAGAACCTCTCCCCCTAAAGCCACAATGAAGAGGGTCCTGCCCTACCCTCAGGAGGAAGGAATGCTGCTCAGAGAGGCCAAGAAACATCCGAACAGACAGGCCTTGCCTGTTAGCATAGCTCACACCCTTTCCAGCCAATTGTTTCTACGCGTTGTCTAGACTTCATTGAACTTCAGAAAACGTGTGGCTTACCCTGGGTCTTCCTTTCTGAAGGCTCCTGTGACCTGTCAAACTTTGATTAAACAAATTCCTTATACTTTCTTGTTGTTAACCTGTCTTTTGTTACAGGGGTGTCAATGTGACCCTTATGATGGGCAGGAAAGGATCACACCTGTCCCCTACAAATGTCCTCAGTCTCACCTTCCTTAACAGCAGCCAGCACTAGTTAATGGACACCTGCCTTGTGCCTCAGAGAAGGCTGTCAGGCAGTCATTATTTTACCTTTATTCTATTTATTTTGAGACAGGGTTTAATAGCCCAGGCTGGCCTAGAACTCACCCTTTGTGGCCCAAGCTGTCCTCGAACTCATGATCTTCCTGCTTGAGTGCTGGAATTAAGGTATAGGCCACCATGACCAGCAGGTTGGCCTTGTTACCAGAGGTCAGGGCAAAAGCCCTGATCTGAAAGTCCCAACAGAGGAGGCTCTGCCACCCATCCTGTACTGCCAGCTGATGAGTAGTGGTGAAGGTCAGAAAAAAGAAAATGAATCAACATGCCATGTTGTGAAGTGCAGATAAAGGGGTCCAGTGACACGTCAAGTCCATCCTTAGGTACTGATATGAGCTTCCAGAACACATGGGAGAGGGTGAGAAGCATGTAAAATTAATCCATCTTGGTCAAACATGGCCTGCTTGATCATTGTCTCAGGGCTCTGGTCAAGAGGGACTTTGTCACCACAAGAAAGTCATGGCTGCCTGGGGGGTAGATTCAGCACTTGTCACAGATGTTTATCCATCAGTCCTGTCTTTACTGAATGCAAGGTGACCTCAGGAGAGAATGGCTCAGAGCAAAGGGGACGGATAGAAAATGGAGATAGAGAGGCCAGGGTTTTTAAGCCTTTTACCTTGTGGGCCCAAGTGAGGAGTCGGTGCTATTCAACAAAACCAGTTTCTAAGTGGCCTGCTACATTATCACACCCATTACAGAGGAGGAAACTGAGACACCACGTTCTAGGGAAATACAAACAGCACCTAGGCCCAGGGCTGTCTGCTTCTAGAGCTCAGATCTAGCCCAGCAACCTGCTCCTTTTTTTCTGGGCTTTGGGCTTTTTCTGGTCCCATAATGTACCTTCTCCACTCACTCTCTCTCTCTCTCTCTCTCTCTCTCTCTCTCTCATTCTCTCTTGTTTTCATGCTCTGTGTTGCAGTGTTGGGGATGGAACCCAGGGCTTGGAGCATGCTAGCAAGTGCTCTGCCCCTGAGCCAGACCTCAGTCCTCTTCTTTCTTGGGTTCATTTGAAGATGATATTTCGGCCTGAACTCAAAGCACATTTTTGAGATTTACTCCTTTTTCTGAGTATCTCCCATATATGTACCAGGTATACATGTTGCTCAACTCCTGTTTTTCTCTTGTTAATCTGTTTTTTGTTCTAGGGGTCCTTAACAACTATGAAGAGTACAGAGAAAAATATTTTTCTCCCCTTATCAAAAGAGGCCTGTGTGGCTGGCCTGGGACAAGTTCAGGGATCATAGGACCCCAGGCTATCACTGGGGCCTGCCCACACCAGCCTCCCCCACACCAGCCTATGGTGTGGCCTGGATTCCATAGCTACCTTGTAAAACATGGTGCTCTGTCTTCTCCCTGCTCCTGCTTCCTGACCCTGCCTCCCTCTTCTGTTAATCTGTCAGGGAGGTGTTTGTAAATGCTTGGTCACTGAAAGTGCCCAATGGAGAAGAGAGTTGCTCAAAGTCACCCAGCTGATCAAGGGTAGAACAAGGTCCCAGGCTTCTGATTCCCACTCCCACGCATCTTCTCTGGTTCTCATAACCCCAAACATTCCCTGGGCAGCTGAGAGTCCCCAATGCTACTGGACTAACCTTGTCCCCAAGTTAGACACGGCCACCAGAAGCTCTTGCCCGAATGTGAACTTTGGTCACCTCCCCCTTTGACTGCAGGATTAGGTGACAAATGCACTGTGCCCAGAAGTGTAAGGTGTACACCAAGAAGTTAGCCAACTCTTGTTTGGTGGACATTTTCCCTGAGTCTCTCTGTTCTTTTGTCTTCTCTCTGTCACACAGCCCCTGCTCTGGACTCTTAATAGTAGTTTTCCCAGAAAAGAATCCCCACTGCTTTGCAATAAAACGATTTGCTCACAGACGCTCCCACCTTTCCTGCCTTCTCAGAACACTACTGGAGGTATCTGTATCGGGGTCTCCCGAGTTGCAATTCCTAAGACCCCCTAAGTCCTTTTTCCTTCTGCAGGTTCAGAGTCTGGAATGAGCTCCACAGGCTCCTGCTTGGTTACTCGAAGTGGGCTGGGGTCAGGGCGTGCAGGGACTGGACTCCCTGACTGCCACCAGCATGCTTCAAGCTCCACCTAGCCTGGGAGGCCAAGTTCAGCCTGGGATGAGTCCTGCTCTAGAGATGGGGGGATCAGGAAGGGATGGGAGCGTGGTGCGCTCTCCCAGGTCCTAGGGCGAAGGCAGCGGGAGCTCCAGAGGAGGTGGAGACCCTGAGTCCTGCTCCCAGGTGGAGAACCAGGACTGCAGCGCGCACCCGGCTGCCTGCGTGGGCGGCGCTCGGAGCCTCGCTCTCGGCACCTGTGAGATGGGCGCGCGCGGGTGCCGGCCAGCGCCAGGAGGAGAGCCCGCGAGCGCGGGGAGGGGACGAAAGCAGAAGGGCCCGCAAACCCGGAAGCGTGGGAGGGGAGGGGAGGGGAGGGGCGGGCCAGAGGGAGGAGCCCCGCCTGCGACCCGCCTGCCCCAGACGCAGTGGCCGTGCGTCCCGGAGGCAGCGGCGGAGGCGCGGCGGCGACAGTAAGTGCGGGCCGAGGTCGGGCGGCGGCTAGGCCCGGGGACAGATGAGCTGTCCCGGTCCCCGGCCGCCCTGGGCACGTGCTCAGCCCCGCAGGACGCGGCCAGTCCCGGTCCCCCCGGGGCAGCACCTCTCGCTGTCCCGCCTCCCCTTTGAGGCTCGCCACCGGCTCCTCTCTCCGATCTCCATCTTCTGTCCCCAGATTCTCGCTCTTTTCTCCCCCAAGACCGGTCCTCACCGCCAGGTGACTGTGGACAGTCAAGCCGAAAGCATCCAGAAGGCGGCTGGCTCTGCGAGTCCAAATTGGGGGCCTGTGGCTGGCCAGTCCACAGCCGCCGAGCCATTCTGCCGTGACCTCCGGATGGTGCTTCCTAACTGTGCTGACCGGGGCTTAGCTCCACAGCCCCCTAATCGGTGTCCCCATGAGGACATCGAGGCACAGAGGGAGACTGATGCGGCCAGTCAGTAACCTCCCAGAGGGCACCCAGGCTTCCAGCCCAGGCGTCTGCGGTTTCTGGCTTTGTAGGGTTGCTCCTGCCCCTGGCCACAGGCCCCAGGCCCCAGGCCCCAGGCCCGGGTGGAGAGGCAGGCCCCTCCTCCCACCCCCCTGTTCTAGGGAAGCTTGGCTGCTTCCTCTCCTTTGTCTCTCTTTAAATCCTAAACCAGCAGTTAGGTTTGATAAAGAGTAATAAGACTCGGCTCACATCAGTTCCCTGGACTGTGACCCGGGTAGAGGAGATTCCTACGCCTTCAGGAGCTTGGTCAAGGTTGAATGGTCCTCATAAATAGGCCCCAGAGCAGAGAAGGGCCCTGGCCCTGTGGGCCTGAATGGTTGGCTGTCGGCCCCTGTCCCTGCCCATGAAGTCAGAACATCTGGGAAGAGTCACTTGCCAGCTCTTTGTGGTCCTCGTGATCTCTATGGCTCATAATTGCTTTTTCTGTTTTTAACAAATTGTGTAACTGTGTGTGTGTGTGTGTGTGTGTGTGTGTGTAGGTCTGTGCTCCCTCTGCTGAGATTGTTAAGGCTGGGGAGTGCTCCTGTCAGCAAGGGATTTAAAATAGACTTGCTGAGCCCACACCAGTGGCTCATGCCTGTAATCCTATCTACTGAGGAGGAAGAGATCAGGAAGATGGCAGGTTCCAGCCCCAAGCAAACTGTTCTTGAGACCCTATCTCAAAAAAAATCCCATCACAAAAAAGGGCTGGTGGAGTGGCTTAAGTGGTAAGAGCTCCTGCCTAGCAAGCACGAGACCCTGAGTTCAAACCCTGGTGCTGCCAAAAAAAAGAATAGACTTGCTGGTAGGATGCTCTGTGGCCTCCTTGTCTACTTGCTCCAAGGCACTGTGCAGTAAGGGACATGGGACAGTGTTCAACTTGTACAAAGCCCATTCATTCAGCAAACATTGCAAAGGGTATCACCTTTGCCTCTGCTCATGGCTCCCTGGCTGTGAAGCCTTCAAAAAGGGCTGTCTATACTTGGCACCAACAGACAGTCACATTCCTGGCTGTCCTCCCAGGAAGGCCCAGGAGTCAGGTGTGGGCCCCAGACTGCTTAGCTGTATAATTTTGCTGTTGCCATCTGGTTGCTGTGTGACCTTGGGCAAGTAACTCACCTTTCTGGCCTCAGACCCCTCACCTGTGAAGTGGATCTTAGAGTAGAACCTAACATGTTATGCTGCTGTCACACTCATGTGCTAAGCGTGACCTTGGCATATGTGAGTACTGAACTGAATTTTAGCTACTAGGATTTTTTCTGTTTGAATATGGGACAGTGCAGGTGCCTTCAAGGCACTTTGCATCTGCAGGAGAGGGCAATAATTACTGCTCTGCTTAATTCCAAGGGATGCTATGAGGGTCTCCTGAGATGGTGGGTAGGTCCAGCACCCATAGCAGGGACCTTCTTATCCTGCCAGTTCAAGGCTTCTCCCTTCCTGGCTTGAGGCTCTACGTCAGGCTCTGCCTTCAGTATGAGCCAGGACACTCCACACTGCCCCACCTTCAGCATGGTGGAGACAGCTCTACCTGAGAAGATACTACCATATGTAGGTGCCATCTAGAGTGCAGAAGTGGGATGTCAGCTTGCAGCCTGCAACAGGAAGCCCAAGATACCAAGGAGGATTCTGACAGTTGTTCACCAGTCACTTTTCCCCTACTGCCAGACTGGCACAGTTATATAACCATTGAGACTCACAAGCAGGTAACTCGCAGGCAGTGATTCCCAGTAGCCCAGAATCTTCCACCATCTGAGGTGCTGCCACAGATTGGAGTGGCTGTCCCCTGGTTGGATGTGATGGACCTCAGCTTAGCCATTCACCCCGCCTGCGAACTTCTGGCTTGTTTCCTCACAAATGAAACAAGGAGTGCACTGTCAGAGGCCTCACTGGCTTCCTGAGGCAGCTCTAGACACCATGGGTTTTTATAAACATTGTTATTTAATTTGAATGCTCTAACTTTATAATTTTAATTTTATTATCATTATTATTATTATTTTGGTGGGATTGGAGTTTGGACTCAGGGCTTCATGCTTGTAAAGGAGGTACTCTACTGCTTGAACCACACCTCCAGTCCATTTTGCTGTGGTTATTTTGGAGATGAGGGGAGCTCTCAAGAACTGTTTGCACAAGCTGGTCTCAAACCACTGTACTCCTGATCTTAGCCTCACAAGTAGATAGGATCATAGGTGTATGCCACCAGAGTTTGGCTTAATTTTATTTTTGAACAGCTAATACATTCATATAGTTCAAAATTGAAAAGGCACATACAGTGGATAAGCTGGGGAGTCCTCCCTTCCCTGAGCAGTGTCCTTCCCCAGAAACAAGTACTGTTAGACATTTCTTGTGTCCCCTTCCTAAGTCTATGCATGTGCAAGTGCCTATATGTGTGTATTTTCTCCACCACACCTTTTCACACAAACAATGCATTCTGTACTTTTCGTACATCAAGTTGAAGAGAATTTAGACATCATTCTTTGCCTATCCATGGTCCTAAGTCCTTTTTTGATGGCTCTATAGAAATGTGAATTTTTTGTGTGGCTCTGGGGCTTGAACTCAGGGCCTACACCTTGAGCCACTCCACCACCCCTTTTCTGTATTGGGTATTTTTGAGATAGGGTCTTACAGACTGTTTGCCCAGGGCTGGTTTTGAACTGCAATCCTCCTGATCTCTTTCTCCTAAGTAGCTAGGATTACAGGCATGAGCCACCAGCGCCCGACTGAAATGTGAATGTCGACAGCCCAGGATCCCCTTCCTGGATTACTTACCACAGGCCCCGCCATTCCTCAGTGTTTAACATATTCACACACACACACACACACACACACACACACACACCTGCGTATCTCCTACTTGTGCTACCTGTCTTGCTCTTGCACAGTTAGGTGACAGGTCACTCAAAGTTCTGGCAGCCTGTCCTCTAAGTCTGATTTTTGTGTTTCTTCCTGATCTTAAACCCAAAGTGCTCCAGCCACATGCTGGTGAGAGTGTAGACCCAGCCTGGATATAGTTGTTTTGTAGGATAGAGGAGTCCTCAGTTGTTCCCAGCCTCAGTGTCTGCATCCCTTCCTGCTCCCACAGTGGCCATTGTCTCAGAGGACAACATGGGTCACAGTTCCAACTCCACTTACAGACTGATAAGTGACCAGCTCAGGGCTGACCAGGACCCTGTGCAGGAGAAGTTGCTGGACCGCCCCGCTCCACTCCTGCCGAGGCCCGAGGACCGCTTCAACGGTGCCTACCTCATCTTCTTCAGCCTGGGCATTGGTGGCCTACTGCCATGGAGCTTCTTCATCTCCGCCAAGGAGTACTGGGCATTCAAACTCCGCAACTGCTCCAACCTGGCCTCTGGGAAGGACCCCGAGGACTCAGACATCCTGGTAAGGGTTTGTTTCTCTGGTGGAGCAGAGGCAAGCAGCCCCGGGGGCTGTGGTGTAAGCACCTTCCAGGGAGGTTCTGAGCATTCTGAGAATATAGATGTGCAGATGGAAGACACGGGGCAGGGTGCATAGTAGAAAGAATTCCGCTCTGGCCCAGGACCCGCTTTGTGTTGTGCCATGGCAGGAGCATACAGGGGTAGAGAGACACAATTCCCACCTTCGGAGTGTGTGATGTTTGGGTGGGAGGAAGATGAATGGTGACTCCACGTAGAGTAGGATGGTAATGCAAGAAGACAGAGTCTATGCTTCAGGAGCGGAAGCGTATCTAATAGCATTGCTTTCAGCTGTAAGTTATAGAAAATTCCAGAAGAGTAGTGGTTAAAACAAGGTGGAAGGTCATTTTTCTCTCACATTCAACTTTGGACAGGCGATCAGCCTATGGCTTGTATGATGTTCTGTGGTGTCAGGAACCCACTTGCTTCGTCGTGCAACTCACATGCTCTCATGTTCAAGATGGCTGTTGAGAGTTCCAGCCTTTACATCAGTAGGGAAAACTAAGAGAAGAAAGGAATGCATATGCCTTGTAAGAACACTTCCTGGAATAACATACTGCTTCTATTTACATTGCATTGCTTCAAGTGCAGACCTGTGAATTACCAGCTGCAAGGAAGGCTGGGACATGTAGTCTTTTTTATTTTGGTGCTGAGGCTTGAACCCAAAAGGTCTAACACATGCTAAGCATGTTCTGTCACTGAGATACGTTCCTGGTCCTGAAATGTTTTGTTTTGTTTGAAATATTGAGAATTGAACCCAGGGCTTCAAGCTTGTTAGGCAAATAATCTACCGCTCAAGCCATGTCTTAGCCCAGGGTAGCCTCAAACTATTGATCTTCCTGCCTCCACCTCCCAGGTAGCTGGGATCATAGGCATGAGCTACCACGCTTAGCTTCTGAAAGTATTTAGTTTTATCCCACAGAAGCACATTCTAGCTAAAATGTAGCTAGGGTGTATTAGTCCATTTTCTGTGACCAGTGACACAACACCATAGACCAGGTGAGTTGTAAAGAAGGAAGGTTTATCTTGGCTCTTGGTTCTGGAGGTCCAAAATCAAGATGCTGAATCTGGTGACGGCCTTCTTGCTAGTAGTGTCTGAAGGGAGCATGGGGCATCACATGGTGGGAGACAGGAAGCATGTGTATATGTGAGCCTGGTTTCTCTTCCTCTTCTTACAAACCCACCAGGATTCAGTCCTAGGGCTCCACTCTTATGACCACATCTAACCTAATAACCCTCAGAGGCCTCACCTCTAAATGCCGTAGCTGGATTAAGCTTCCTCTCTTAGACCCTCACTGTGGGGATTATATTTCAACACAGGAAGCCTTGGGGAACACTGAGACACTATTCAGACTATACACGGGGAGAGTGGAAGCCTTGGGGACAGTAGTCTGGTCCCCAGGGGCAGATGAAGTTGAAGACTTATTTGGAGACATTACTGTGGGCAGAAATCTCCCACACTCAATGAGTTGTGTCCATCCACCTCTCCAGGGCTCTGCTGAGCTACACACCTGAGTCATCTTCCAAAACTACCATTTCCCAGTCCCTGCCCAGCCCAGGACAGACTGAATTAGCCTGAGGAGTGGACGCTGGTGTTTTCTATGACTTCACATTCTCACCCCACCCCACTCTGCCCCCACTTTCCCCACCCATGGTTCTGATGCTTGGGGGTGGGGGAGCTCTTCTGTGTACCTAAGGGATTCATAGATGCTGCCAGGGGCCAGAGCAGCCAGACTGACCTCATCTGTACAGCCCAAGTCCCTGGGGACAGAGGCCAATAGTTAGAGCCCTGCTGTTCCAGGTGTGATCCTGGGGCCAGTGGCAGCCCAGAAACTTGTTGGTAATGTAGTTTCCTGACCCCTGACTCAAGGTTCACATGTTCCCAAGCCCCCCCAGTGACTGGCAAACTCAGTGGACTTTGGGAGCTCTGGCCAGGGCATGGCTTCTGGATCCAGATCCTGCCTGTTCACTCTGCTGCTTCATTGTCCTCGTTCCACCACTGCCTTCTTGGTATGAATGGATGAAGTTACAAGTCCTCAGGACAGGCCTGGTACCGAGTGCTGTATAAACCTCGGGATGAGGTCATCTTTTGGGGGGTGGGCCCCACTTCTGAGTGGCTTGTGGCCTGAGCTAGCCAGCCTGCTTTATGATCCACTTATATCATCCCAGCTTTCTACCAGCCTCAGTAAATCACACAGGCCACTGGGCTTCCTTCAAAGGCCCCTGGCTCTCTTCATCCCTCCCACCCCCAGTGCAGGGCTAGGTGGTAATGTGCACCTGTCCCTGCTCTGTCTCACTCCTGCCCTTGGGCACAGGCCCCCAGCAGGATAGGCAAGTGCCGGCTGGTGGAGCAGCCCTATTTGCTAGACAGTACTCTCAGGACGCTCCTTCCCAGCTGCAGGCACTTAGCATTCCAGGCCCTGCTACAATGCTTTATGGTCTCTTTCCAAGCACTGGCAGGTGCGGATGTAGTACCTGCTGCTGCCCACAGCTCCTGGCTCTTGGCATCGGAGACGAGAGACCTGTCGCCCCTCGATTCATGGGCCGGGCTTGGGAAGCAAGCATGCTGGGGTGTTTCTGCATTTCGCGGGCCATTTTTCTTTGCTTCATTCCTCATTCCTGACACCCACCTCCCCAGTGTCATCATTGTCCCTCTCCCCCCAGTCTTCCTCACTTCCCTGCAAGAGGCGGTTGGCCTGCCCTGTGTCCCGAGGGCCACTCTGGAGAAAAGAAGAGAGGAGTCAAATGGGTCTGTCTCCAGCTGCCAGCTGCCCTAAGAGAGCTGAGAAGCTGCACATTTGTTCCTGTGCCTGCCTTCCTTTTAGTATTTTGCTGGGATGGATGCCTGTCTGTTGGGGAGTTTGGCCTAGTAGGAATGTTTGCCTAGACAACTCCCCCCCAGTTATGTCACTTCCAGGGCCACCTCCCATCCCAGGCTCACTTCCTTCTGCTCAGAACATATTTGGGGATGGTTAAGAAAGCATCCTATTTGCCTTGCCCTCTCATCTGTTTTCTGGAATAAAAACCTCAGATAAACCCACCACAGGCCTATCGGCCCAGGGCCAAAACCATCAAAGCATAATCGAGAATGGATTGATATGAAAGGTGGTGCAGGGCGAGCTGCAGGGACCACCATTTTCTGGACTCACTGACTTCCTCTTGCTAACCCTGCAAGGTCTGTTACTGTGGTTGGGGTGTTCCAGGTGTACCTCGGTTGTTGGGTGCAACGTCTAAGATTAGGATGCTGCCCCAGGTGCAGCAAAAAACCCACAAAGAGTAGGAAGATAGCAAAGAGTGATTTATTAAAAAGTGCATCCGGAGTGGTGAGCTGGGAAATTTTATCCAATAGGGTGGTGTTAGGTTACTAGGCTGCGTGAATCTGAGACCCATTCCCTATCGCCCCACCCCAAATGGTTTGATGGTTGCTCAATGGCTGCCTGGGTTGGGAAGGCTTTTGTCTGCTCTTTGATCCTCTCTTGTCCTCCCCAATTTAGTGCTGCCAGTGAAGGTTACATCAGTCATTTCCTCATCCTCAAGGCCCATGTCCAACCTGGTTATGGGGAGTAGGCACCTTAAAGATACATTGTCATTATCCTAATCGTTTGTGTAGGGTGTAGGCCATCTGGGGGTTTTAGAATGGAATCTTGGAGCCCAGAGCATTTCCTCTTTCCTACTATCTGCCCATGCTAACAGGTTTTTTGGTTTTTTTTTTTTTTTTGTGCTGGATGGGGGTACAGTGTGGCATTTACAAAAGTTCTTACAATATATCAAATATATCATACTTGAATTCGCCCTCTCCCACTAACAGTCTTAATGTTCTTTTTTTTTTTTTTTTGAGACAAAAAGCCAGAGACTGACAGATTAAGTAACTATCCCAAGATCCCCTAAGAAGGGCTGTAGAACATTTCATGGAGAATTTAGGTGGGTAGATGATTGCAAAATTGGTCATACTGAGAGAGTGCTGGAGATGGAGGTGGGGGGGTTCACATGCTAATTCCACCAAACACAGTGTTATTTCTTTTGTTTTGTTTGAGACAGTCTCACTGTGGAGCCCAGGCTGGCCTTGAACTTGCTAGGTAGCCCCAGGCTGGCCTCAAACTTGTGGGGTTTTTTTGGGGTTTTCAGTACTGTGGTTTGAACTTAGGGTCTACACCTTGAGCCACTACACCAACCCTTTTTTGTGAAGGGTTTTTTGGGATAGGGTCTCTCACGAACTATTTGCCCGGGTTGGCTTCGAACCACGATCCTCCTGATCTCTATCTCCTGAGCAGCTAGGATTACAGGCGTGAGCCACCGGTGCCCAGCTGGCCACAAACCTGTGACCCTCCTGCTTCCATGTCCTGAATCTCAGCATTGCAAGTGTGCACCACCATGCCCAGTAACCTGTGAAGAGCATGACCTTGGTCTGGCTTCTGCTTCTAACCAAAAACTCAGGTCCCTGGGCTGTTCCCTCAAGCTGTTCTTCCCCACCCCACCTCTGTAAACTGAAGCCCCTGTGGGGACTCTGTGTCCTCTCAGCCCTCCTGCAGGCTGTTTCAGCTTTCTTGAGCCAAGAAGAGAACAGCGAGCCAGACTAGCCCTCTTACTGCCCCGGACAGGAAGGCAGCACCTTCCCCTCGCCATGTTCTGTGCTTTGCCTGCCCAGGGCTCTTCCAAGGAGATGGTGGGATATGGCCACTTGGTGTGTCAGCAGACCAGGGCCCAGGCCTAGCATCTACTGCTGCCCTGTCCGTCCCCTAACCAGGAGGCTCCTACAGCTGGACGGATTGTTGATCCTGAGTTCAAGTCCTGGGTAAGTTGATGATTGTAGATGCCTGGACCAGGAGTTAAGAGTAAAGGCAAGTGCCAAGTTTATTGAAAAGACAGCAAAACTCCCCGCGCAGGAGGGGAGCCTGACAGCTGTGTGTATAAAGGTTTTATCTAGTTTTGTGGCGCGCTTTTGGGGCA